GTTTTTTCTGAAAGAGACGGCGCACTATGCGTCGCTCTTATACAAAATGAGGAAATAGCCAAATAAATAAAGAAGGACTTAAAATATTTAACTTATTTTTTTATAAGACATCAAATTTTTATTTATATTTATATATTTAAAAGAATCATATTCGGTTTTCATAAAAAAACAATTTATTGTATTTTTTTTTTTGTTAGTGCGGACTAATTCTAGATTTGTCCGGAAAACTACACAAGTCCGGATGATTTTATTCAAAAAAAAGTAGGCGCCTATATTTTATAGAATTTTACAAACTATGTATATGAACACTATTTCAAAATAAACAGTATCATTGAATATAATAAACAACTCTGCTATCATATGATACTTGGCTCTTTGCATTCTTTCACAGTTTCTCAACGTTCTTTTCTAATAGATGCTTTTAATAACTTGTGGCTATGAAAATAGCCGTTTTTTTAAAATTCAACGCAGAACAGCTCATCAGTATGGTTCTTCATGGTCTTACTTCCTAAAATAGTTAATTGCTTGTTAAAATTGATTAAATTGTTAATTAACCAAAATTATGAGATTGCCTAACCAAAAAAAAATCAATCAAAACTATCAACAATATTAATAATAAAACTATTTTACCTTTATTTTAAGCAGTTATCAGAAGAACTGTCACTTTGCTGTCTTAAACTATTTTGTAGTTGTTCTGTTTATATCAATGAGTAAATCTCGAAACAACTTAATCATTCTGATATCCAAGTTTAAAATTCTCCCTGTCACAATCGGGTTATTAAAAAATTTGCGAGCAACATTTCCAGTATTGGTTGTTCCACATCCTTTCCTGACAAAAGAAACCCTTATATTCAGTTGTATCTCGAATAAATGCTGGAATTTATTTTTTGTTTTCAATAAATTCTTTACTCTTTTGTGATAGATATTTCTTCCTTGCTTAACAGCTGGGAGTTTACAAGCAGTATTGAAAATCCACTCCATACAGCGCATCCATAGATGAAGACTGCAAATTCCAAGTTTCAAAACATGCTTGTTTAAATTAATATTTTTTTTCCAAATAGTTTTCAAGTTAAACTCCTTAGAATTTGCAAGGCATACATGGCAGGACTGAGATGAAATTTTTTTTTTAAGCATATTTGATACAACAGCGTTTAGTGTTTTACCATCATTCATTGTGGTATAAATAGTTGACAAACTAGACTTTACTACAAAGTACTTTCACCAAGTTTAAATTCAATATTCTTCAATAAAAAAATTTCATTTTTCAAATGTTCAAATTTTCCTGAATAAAACTAGCAGTCTTTTTTGCAAAATAAAAAAGAAGATGACGGGTTGCATCTGGACTATTTGGAATTAAATTTTTCCATATTATTTTTTCTCCACTTCGGATCTCCAGCAGTACAAACATTATACTATACACAGAGCGATCAACTACACCTCTTTTCATAGTTGCTGAATTTTGAAACTCAGATTGATCACTTTGACCATCACCTCCTACTTTGCAAATAATTTGTACATTATCACGCTCTTCTTCTGATAAACTCATTATGCAGTTACTTTCATAATCCAAAAGATATTCAAACACTCTAGAAAATGAAAGCTTTATCATATGGAAAAGACTACATTTTACTTCGGTTTCAGAATATTCAACCTGTTCTGGGTATGTCAATTTTTTGTATTGCTGCAACTTGGTTAAACCTGGAGGAACAAGATGACGATTATGAGTCACTATATTTTTAAATTCAGTCCATGTTCTATCTGTAAGTTTCAAATTACAAAGAGCTTGCAATGACAAATTTGAACCATATAAAATAGCCCTACCATCAATAGAAGAATTAAATTTAAACTTTTTGACAGCATGTTGCAGTTCTTCCACCTCTCGTTCTCTAAGACTATCTGTTCTTTTACGCTTCATTCTGTTTGTAAGCTTTTTAAATTACTATCTAGGTTTTGGTGTACAAGATGTATTGACTGCAGATGATTTAGGTACTCTACATGGTACACTATAAATAATAAAAAAATACATTAAAACATATATACATTTTGAAGGTTTTGTGAAACATAGTCAAACAATATGTATGTGTGTGTGCAAAATAAAGAGGGAGATACATTTATCTATGCATACCTGTTTACATTGGATCCATGAGTACGAAGCAGTAATTCCCCTTCTTTTATTTTACGCTCACCCTGCTTGATGAGTTGATTACCCTGTTTAATCAGATTTTCACCTTTTCTAATTAATAGCAGTTCTTCCTCATGTGTTCTAATCTCTTTTTCAGAATCTTTTTCTAATCTACACGCATAAGTATTATATATATATATATATATATATATATATATATATATATATATATATATATATATATATATATATATATATATATATATATATATATATATATATATATATATATATATATATTTATATTTATATATATATATATATATATATATATATATATATATATATATATATATATATATATATATATATATATATATATATATATATATATATATATATATATATATATATATATATATATATATATATATATATATATATATATATATATATATAATATATATATACTATAATGCAATATTTATTACTTATTTATAATAAATCAATATAGAATATATTATACTCACAAGAGATATTTGCATTGTTGATTTTGATCCAAAATAAGTTTATATTTAGTAAGAAAGAACTTTTTTCTTTTTCCACACTTATTTAGTTTTTTTATTAAATTAAAAGCCAGACTTTTGAAAATGTTGAAATTCACAGTGCAATCAGCATTAAGTGATAAAAACTTGGACTGCAAAAAATTAGCACATTCAGATACATTTTTACTCGTGAAAATATGCCTTGGAGGATAATTATCAGCCAGAAGTTTGCTAAGATTAAAAGTAACCATTTTTAAAAAATTCTAAATCACGATGAGAGCCAAACTTAGGTTATAACTTAAAGACTAGAAAAGAATGTTCTGCCCGCTGCCAGTTTCTTGACAAAAACTAACTAACCGGTTTTTAATAAATCCACATCTTTTGAACTGATTTTATAGCATGTTACTACAGAGGTAGCCAGAATATTATTTCACTTATAAAAAGTCAATTTGTTTGAAAAAATTTAAAAAAAATAAAAAATTGGCTACCTCTGTAGTAACATGGTCTAATCGATCAATCTTTACAGATACCCAAAAACAATGATCCTAACATTTTTTTTTTTCTTTTCTTGGTTGTTAATTTATGAAATGTATTATTTATTAGAAAACGTGCAAAAAAAATGAAGAATTTCGAAAATTATTTTATGTAATTTAAAGGTTTAGTGAAAACATGTGTTTTTTTACCCCTGAAAATCCCGCACCTAAAACGGCAAATTTAAAAAAAATTAAAATTTTTTTTTTTTATTAACTAATACTAACCTGTTTCAGTTAAAAAATATTTAAAATATTAAAATTGAAATTTTTTTTCTGAAAAGTAAGTAATATCCTATTTCCACTTCGCGACGCTTAGTGCGGCGGTTTATTTAATATGCAATTATATAACTCGTTATTGAAAATGAAATATCTCATTAAAAATCAACAAACGTCTAATCAATTTTTGTAGATAATATAAATAGCGTTGCTTTATAGTCATGAAGTTATTCAAGTTATCCAGTCATTCAAGTTTTTCAAGTTATTCAAGTTTTTCAGTAAAGATAGTAATGACATCATCTGGTAGAAGAGTTACATTAGCAACATTTTTGAGTTGGGGTAAAGATGGAGTCTGTGGAAAAGAAACTGAGGTGGAGAATGGAACAATTTTTGTTGTGAAGATTTGGTGTATGGTTTGTATAAAATATAAAAAAGAATTGCTTCGCGAGTTAAAAGGTCTGGCAAAATCAAAAGCATAAGCATTTATAGAGGGCACTACGAACGTTAAAGCTAGCAACATACATACGCTTATATACATGCTTATATTGTATATAAAGTAACGGAAGCCTCGGTATCTTAAGAAATTATTAGTACTTCTAAATAAAAACTTATTTTATTAAAAGAAATTAGATTTCAAATTTTTTATTCACGTATCAGAATAACTATTTCCGATCAGGATAGGCATAGGTAAAGCAAAGTTATAAAAATATAAATAACAGTTTAAGTTTTTAATTTGCACGCCCAATAGAATGCAAGAGTATATAAATAATTCAATTTGAAAAATGACATAGTTACGTATCATATTACCAAGCTAATACCAAACAATTCTAAAACTACAAAGCTCATTAATTCAAGGTTAAAAAAAAAAAAAAGGTTTCAAACTATTTGCTGAATAATTAAAAAAATTAGATTTTGAAAATATTATGTAATATTTTTATTCACAAAGAATAAGAGAAACGAATGAACTAAAAAAGCACGATAAAAACCTGTATAATTTAATCGAATACTTGAATAAAACAATAATATATAAATATACTCAAAAAGACTTCGGTAAAAAAACACGTTAGGATGCTTGAATAAGGAAACGTGATGAAACGCCATGGTTGTTTCGAGGATTTTTCCCGTCGTTTTCACGTTCATTCGTTTGACTATATCTGCCAGATATTATCTGGAATAAAGATTAAAAAAAAAAAGCATAAAAAACTGAATAAAGTTCCTTCGAGTAAGAAATCTAAACAAAAGCAACCATAAAACAACTAACCCACGTGAAACGAAATTAGATCTGTGCAAGTGAAAACTTTGAAAAACAATTATTGAAATCTTAGTTTTAAGTATTATCCAACTCATTTACTGCAGTGTTTTAATTACTTAAGTAATTAAGCATTTTAAACAGTTAATCGCTTTCTAACATATTATTTTAGTGCAATTTACAAAATGTTTAATATTCAATGACATTTTTATTCAAAAAGAAGAAGAGAAATTAACAAATTTAAAAAAAAAAAGTTCAAACTTTAGAATTTTTTTTAAAGTTTAAAAAAGCCCGTGCAAGACCATCTAGACGGGCGGCCCTCATAGCCCGCCAAGTCTATTTAAGACGGGCTTTTCATAGCCCGTACGGTTTTTATTCCTGCCGAAGCCTGTGTATGTATATATATATATAATTATATGTGAATGATTATAATGCAAAAAAAAAGCTAAAAAGTTCACAAGTTACTTACAAAGTATGTAAGATAAAATATTTATATTTAAGTTAAATATAAATTTATTATGTTATATAGTTTATATACTATGTGATTTGTTTGCATTTAATTTATATTTGTTTTTATAATATAGGTAATATAAACTATATAGTACAGTTTTTTTAATATATCATAATCATATAGCTATAAATGATATACAATTTGTATCCAATAAATTTGTGTGGATATTATATTACAACACGATTACAACAACTGTATGCAAACACATTTAATGCATCAAATCAAACTGTGAAAAATAAAAAAATAATAAAAATAATAATATATTTCCAAGCATAGTATACTATGTAATACAATACATATATATATATATATATATATATATATATATATATATATATATATATATATATATATATATATATATATATATATATATATATATATATATATATATATATATATATATATATATATATATATATATATATTATATGTATGTTGATTTTTAAAAAAAGGCAGCGTTAAAATATATTATTGTTAATATATTTTTACATCTAAATATATTTAAAAATAGTTATACGATGTCTTTTTATTATTACCAACTTATATTTCATTTTATTCATTTTTAGAGGTTTTATATTAAATTTGAAACATTTTATCGTGTACTAGAAGTTACTTTTATTATAATTTCCTCTTAATAAACGGCTAAATGCATATTTAATAGCTAAAAATTAGAAAATTAGCTCGTTGTCAATGAGAATTTTTTTTATATTCGTTATTCATAGCCATTTTTAAAACTCGTAAAATATGCAAACTTTACTGCGCTTGCGCATAATAACTTTCCACTTATATAGTGTCTGAACGACCGTATCATAACTAAAAATCTGGACAAAGTTAGAAATTGTGTAACTTTTTAACGGAATGATCAATTTTAATAATTGAAAAATGTATAAAAACAAAAAATATCTAAATAATAAAACTTTAAAAAATTATAAGTTTTTTATGTCATGACGACGAACGGTGTTTACTCTTGTAAATGATGCGGCAGCTAGCCGATAAACACGTTCTAAGTTGATTTTCTCAATAAAAAACTCGATTTACATTAAAGCTTTTATTCTTATGCAAATCCAAAAATGGGTACACTTGTTTTCTAAGGTGGTCTTCGTTGCAAGTCTTCTTTTTCATTTTTAATTATTACTAAATATTTTTTTTTTTTTTATAATACATTTAAAGAATTAAATTTGTAACAATACAGGAGTGATTGCAAGTATATTAACTCATTCCTTCATATTTTAATATTTACTGAAACTTTGGAAAGAAGTCTAATATTTACTATGTATTATTGCAATGTTACCCAGACATCAAAAACATTTTGGGAAACAAATAACAACACGTTAAATTATTATCCTAATAATATTAAATATATATATATATATATATATATAATATATATATATATATATATATATATATATATATATATATATATATATATATATATATATATATATATATATATATATATATATATTAAGTAACATATATTAAATGGTATTATTTGCTCACCTGGCACATCTAATTGTAATAATTTGCTTTTTTTAAAGCTCCGACCGGAATTTCAAAGTCAAAACGGTATCACTTTTGTTCTTTTTATTTGTGAGTACTAATTTTTTAAACAGTGCACTTATTTTTTACTGTTTGTTTTTAATTTTTTTTTTTTTTTTCATAGCTGCAATTATAATGTTAATTTTGTATCCGTACTTATTAACTTTGCTCTTTGATATATACCAACATTATACATGCTATACTCGTAATAAAAGTACTTTTACCTTACTTTTTTTCGTAACTGGAAAAATAATGTTATTTTTGTATCCGTATTTATTATTTTTGCTCTTTGCATTATACGAACATTATACATGCCATACTCGTAATAAAACTTGTAATGCGGACCGCGGATATGAATATAAATTTTATGTACATTAGAATAAACTTTTTCAATACGACTTTTTGAAGGCAATTTTAAAACTATTACCTGTTTTTTTCACTATCACCCAGATAGATTTTAACAAAACGTTTTAAGTTATTAAATTCAATTTCTTTTATACTTTTATAAAGTAAGTGATTTTTAAAACAATATTCCTAGTTAATACTAAAGACAATATGGTGTCCCGCTGATTTACAGTGTTTAATTTATAGAATAATGTTGTTTTTGGTACTTTAAAAAACTTAGAAGCCTTAACAACTGACATTTTTTCCGATTTAATTTTTGCTTATTGCTTCTTGAAGAATTAGAATTAAAGTAATTAGATAAAAAGAAGAAAAAGTAGAATTTAAGTAACTGGATTTAGTGCAATATTTTCTAGTGTAAAAATGAGTTCTCAAACATTTTCTTGACAATTTTTGAATGCTAAAAATATAAAGATAATTGCTATAATTATTAAATTACTTTATTAATAGCAATTGGTTAAACTTACAAAAATAGCCATAAATGTTGAAAACAAAAATATCAAAGTTAAAAATAATTATTTTAATTAGATTACTGCAATAAAAAGAAGTCTAATATTTACTTT